ATTGAAACTTGGGCGATGAGAATTTTTCCTTACTTAGAAAATTACGACACTACCATAGACTAAGAATCACATCCACTTAATATTGCTTATAATAGAAACACACAAGCATCAATTTTCATAAATGACATTGCAAGGAGATATAAATAAGACAAAACTCAAAACTTATTTTATTTATAAAAAGGTGCAGAAAACTTGTCCTTACAACACAAATTCAAATGAAAACTATGCTATTACATATTCCTAAGAATTCTATCATAACTCTACGCAGCAGCTCAAAAATCCGATCATCGCATCATGCGATCGAAATCCATTTCTTCACGATCAGACTCACCTCACTTATTCCTTTAAGCTTCCTTTCTTTTCTTCGATCCTACAACACATTAATATGCAATCCTATCATATCATGTATTAATAATCTAAAATAGAAAACTTAATAGAGTTATATAGTGGATTTTACCTGAAGTAGAGTCATACATCTTGACTCTCCCATCTTTACGATCTCTCAGGTAAATCTAGCAGCTTCGCATCCAATGCCCTTTCTTTTGGCAATAGAAACGAATCGACTCTTTTGGAATGGTACATGGGACAATCTCAGACTTAGCCTTTCTCTTTCCTATAGAAAACCTTTTTGGACTTTCAATGTTGCCTTGGTCAATGTCCATGGAAGTTTGGGACATTGATTTACCAGACGGATTTGCTTGACCAGTGCACCAAATCATCGTTGATTCAGCAGCAATAACCAAATAAGTCAAATCAACGAGGTCATGTCATGGTCCATCATATAGTACTCTATAATGAACTCACTATATGAGTCAGGAAGTGATTGAAGAACCCAGTCAAAAGCCAAGTTCCTTGAGACTTAGACACCCAACATTTCCAATCTATCAATATGCAACTTCATATCCAAGACATGAGCACATACAGACTTTCCATTTTTGTGTTTGTTTGCCAACAGGGCTTGAGTGACCTTGAACTTTTTAAGTCTTTGAACATGTGGGTCAGGGAGAATTATTAGAGGAGGTGGAGTAAATGAAGCATGATTTCCATTTCCACAATCCAATCGCGGAACATCATCTTTATGTAGAAAACTTCTTCCAAAGGATCAGGAAGACCATAGTTGATAGACTTTGACATCTACAAAACGGGAGAAATTCAAGTTAGTTGATTGAATCCTAAATAAAAAACCCAAATGAAATATTAAGGCTAAGATCCAACACAATATTCTACAACTTGGAAGAGGGATGCCATAATCCAGTTGTAGAATACTTGAAGGTAGGTAAATGATAATTTACCAATTTCCACCATGAAAAACAAATATTGAAAATTAGGTTTTAAATGAACTGAAACTCCTAGATCCTTTGAGATTCGTTGAAATTTTTAATGACATGTTTAAATCTCAATTGCGCCCTTCAAGTTTGTGACTGGGATGCCAAAGATCACAAACAAAGTGTGGACAACCCTGCAAATTAGCCTGATACTCTCGAAGATGTCTATCACCTAATCAATGTGCCGGTTAACCACACACGCTCCATTAATCTACGATAATCTATGAGATACCCATTGCCATCCTTCATTGGTCCCATATTAGTGTGTCAGTTAACCACACACGCTCTACTAACGACCAACAAGGTTCAATGTGTAATTTCATGGATTAACACCAACTCTACATTTTTCCTAAAGTAACTAGGATTTGGGAATTAATAAAAGTGTTTAGTTACTTCGTATTTCATTATACTTATAATGGAAGGTTGTGTACTATCCTACCCGTTTGGCTAATGACCCTCCATTAGTCAAGAGTGCGGTGGGTAAGAGTGGATACTCATTCAATCGCCATTTTATAGATAATTTCCTTAAACACCTTTTAGAGACCAACTTTGTAAATGAGGCCTACCAACGGTAAGACTGACTCTTTACTCAAACATATATAATATTAGACTTTTAATTTTATATAGTATAAGAGTGTATTTTACACTTTTAAAATACTAGGTGGTTTAATCTAATAAATTATACCTTTAAATTTGTTAAATATAAACCATTACATTATGGACTTATTAACTCTATTTTAATTACTCACTTAATTAATTTAATAAAACCATAAGGATATAATTTAAACATTTCAAAATACTAGGGTTTTAGAATTTAATATTTCAAGATGAAAACCTTTTAAATAAATTTTAAATTCCAAAACTTCATGACAAATTTGAAACCTTTCAAAATAATAGGGTTTAACTATTTAAATTTCAAAAACAAAAACTTTTAAGTTCAAATTTAAACTATAAAACCTAGATGGTGTAATTTGAAACTTTTTCTAAATGACTAGGTCAAATATTTGACTTACATTAATCCTATATTATCCATATTTAACCAAAACCATTAATTTTGATAAGGATAATCATTCCAAACATAAAAAATCGATTTTTGGCAATAAAAACGAGTTTTGGTAATAATCGTTAACAAAATTTGGCCAAAAAATCGAAAATCCCAGCACCAGACCCTTGGACTCGTCAAATCCACTATGGAACTTGTCAAGTAGGACCTACTTGTCGAGTCCATATATGGACTCGGCGAGTCAGCCAGCGAGAAGCCAAAAATTTCGATTTTCTTGATCTTTGGTGGTTCACTTTTGCATCTATTCACTAGAAAAACGACCTAGGCTATGATACCACTGTTGGGTTATGTGCATAACATCAATCCTATGGTCTACATGCAACGTTAATTGATTTGCTCTAGGTTTTTCTAATTTGAACATACAACATTGAATACTAAAGCAATAAACCTTAATTGACTAGCATACAAATCTGAAAATCACATATAATTAGGGTTAAGAATATTACCTTGATTGTTATGTAGCAATAACAATCCCAATCTTTCTTGATCTTGACTTCTAAAAGCCTAGGGCTCCAAGTGTTGCACCTTTAATGGAGTCACAAACACCATTAGCAACAAGGATAATATATATATATATATATATATATATATATATATATATATATATATATATATATATATATACTAGCAGTGTACCCGCGCAAAGCGGCGGGGCGTGTAAATTCTTTCGGTGATATGTTTGATCTACAAAAATGTTATGTTACAAAAGAAAGTACATGTCGAAGATAAAATAATCAAACTATGGTGTTATTTGGGAGATGAAGTCATTTTTTGTTCCTGGACAGTGGGCTTTATAGCAGAGGAGGGAACAAAGACGTATATGCGATTGGAGAAATATTTTGAATCAACATGCTAAATTTAAGGATATCTAAAAGGGTTCAAAATTTGAATGAATCCGGGATTTAAGGGAACCATATCAAATTGTTGAGAAATATAAGGAGATTTGATGATAAATTTTTGAATTCAAAATGTGGTTAAAATTTAATATTATTTTATTAATGATTACTTGTACTATCAGCTTCATCATTTGGACGTCTTAAAAAAATATTATTATTATAATCAATCTATTTTTAGAAATAGTTAGATTTCTTTTATAAGATAGTAAAGATATATATATATATATATATATATATATATATATATATATATATATATATAGAGAGAGAGAGAGAGAGAGAGGCACCAAAACATCCAAGATGCTCTTAGGAATGCTTAGCCATGTTTTTGGAAGCCTTAGGGGTCCTTATATAGTTGAGGGCTTGAGGCTACTAGAGTTTTCAACTTGGAAACCCTAATTGGGATGTCCTTACATTTTGACATAATTGGGATATTAGAACTTATTAACTCTATTACCAAGCTTATCAAATCATTGATATTAAAATCTTGATTTGAAAATATATGATAGAAATCATATAGAAACTATATATTATAATTATTAAAATCAATAATAATTTGAGGTTTTTTTTTATCAATAATTTATAATACTTTTAGTAACTCAAAACGAAAAAACTAATAGATAAAAATTAATCATATGAAGCTCGTTTCCACTTAAATAATTTATTAGAATTTTTCTAAAATATTGATATTAAAGATAATAATTTGGATACTTAAACAATGCCAAGCCACTGAGTAGAGTAGAGTTTGGTCATTTTTACATAGCTAGGGAAAACGGGGTTGGTATAGATTTGTCATACTTAGCATATAATGCATACTTAACAAAGACCATCCATATCAAAAAAAATTCGTAAGGACTATATGTGTTATTTTGTTGTCAACAACAAGATTATTTATATAACTTTATCTTTATTTTATGACATGTTTAAAAAAAAATATTTGTTAAAAGAAAACTAATCACCACCAGCAAAAAAAAAAAAAAAAAAAAAAAAAATCTAAATGAATCTATTTGCCAAAAAGGCCAATTCACCACCTCCTGGATTTTTGCTCGCTGCATATGCGAATGTAACTTCAAGGAGCAACTTACTTCAAAAAGTGAAAAAGTAACCATGATCCATTGATTAAACAGAATGATTATAACACATAAATAAACACTTAAGATAATAAAAATCAAATGTAAAATTCAAAGTTTAGGACTTTTAGGCAATCTTGTAATACTTTGTTAACCCTCATTAAAAACCAGTGTTTACATTGTTGAATTAAAACATCTCCCATAGGTTTCATTAGATATACTATATACCTCTAATTGTTTGGTGTACCCCTTTATGAGTGTATGTGTGTGTTTGTCTTTTTTATGTGAGTGATGGGAGTTACATAGAGTAACTTTCATATACTATTGTTGTGTATGTTCATCCTTTTTATTCACAATGGTTAGGCATTTTAACATTTGTTTGTCGGTAATCGTAACTATTGCAGTTAAAATAATTAGCCAGGTCGGTTAGTTCATTGTTTTGGTTACAAAATTCAGATTTGACATTAGTACAACTAATCAACTAGTTTATTGTTGACAAACTACATAAAATTATATAGCTAACAAAGAGCAAACGAAATCACAATCAAAACATTTGAAATTACTAGAAATCACAATAAAAACATTTGAAATTATTGACTTCACTAGTTCATCGAATCAATGCAAATAATTTCGCAATTCATAAAATAGGTTAGTAATGTGGTTATAACATAATAAAATCGAAAAATAAGGAGACATAAGAGCTTTAGTAAATGGTGTGCTTTGCTTAGAGAATAACTTAGAAAACATAAAGAAGAAGATGCGATAGAAGACACTTGTGACTAGATAAAAAATGATCTCTTTTGTATCGGGGTATTTCTTTCATATGATTTGATGCGATCATATACAAGAAATAAAAAAAAAAAATCTTTTCGAAATGGTCTAACAACAAATTCCTTATGAATAAAAACCTTGTGTCCCATGAAAATGTAACCTTTTTAACATAATAACATCTATAGATAGAAGCTATTTTTGGTCATGGGCTTGAATATTTTCATGCAAATTACTAGGCCAATGGCTGGGCTTGGTGGGCTTTTTGACGGGTCCTTCTTGGGCCAGGCTCCTTTTTGGGCAAACTCCCTAAGATGCATTTCATGTTGAGCGATTCGTGTAAAACCGCCTAAACTTTCTGCCGTTCTGCGTCTTCTGGCTAAACCAACTTACATTCGACAAATTTTTATTGATCACAATTCAATATTATTGAAATAATTAAAAATTTAAAAAAAATTAAAAAACAAATTCACCTTAACAACTATTCGAAATCACATCTCTCTCCTCTCTGGATCTGATTATCACCCGAAAGAAAAAGAACCCTAATGTATGTCCCAATACAGCCACCAAAAAAACTCCAACATTAAATGACATCAAAGCCAACATCACCATGTTTCCAATCCCCACACGTAAGCCATACAGCATCGTCTGAGCCAATCCAGACGCTGCACCATCGGATTTCATCCTTGACATGGCATCAGCAAGCCATTCCACTAAAAGAGCCATAAAAAACACGAATATCAAAGCCAATGCATACATGCCTATGTTATTTGGCCCTGGCCACCCTTTGAAAAGGATCAAAGCGTCTTTTCCCCAATAGAATGTCATGTGCATAATCATTCTCTTCCGACGTGGCATCCCCAGTGTTGTTCCATTAACACCATTCGTCATCATCGGTGGTGGAGCCATGATCAAGCTATAAATGAGTCTGGTTCGATCTTTTTGTTTCTTGTATGAAATATGAATCAGTCAGTATTCACAAGTTTGTTTGTATATATATAGTAGGATATATATACTGTATAGTACGAGATGTATTTACTTTTGAGTTTTGATAGTACAATATTGTTGGTATGTTAATATAGTAGTACATGGGGATAACTAGAGATCGGGTCGTAAAATTGAGTTGTTACATTAACTACATTCCTAAATAAAAGGCATAAAAAAGTTTAAAAAAACATCCTTGTTTTTTCCGTGAATTGCAACGAAATAACCAACTTTGCCATCGTTTATAGTTATTAATTACCTCAAAATTACTATTTTTGTCTTATCCTACATGAATAAAGTTTTTTACAAAGTTGAATCTTTTGATGATTTTCAAAATTAGGAATTTAAGAAAATTAAATTTTTTGTTATATAAATCCTAAATAAATTATTGTTATATACGTCAAATGAATTACAACAAACATTCGTACAATATTGTTACAACAAGTTGGTTTGCTATTTTTGTCCATCTAATATTTTAGCATAAAAACGAAATAAAAATTAATATTATGCAAAATAAAAAATACTTGTAAATTTTCTTTAGCTATAACAGTTTATGTATTTTGATTGTCTTCATAAGTTCATACTTACGAAATTAATTTATTTGGTCCATGTGATTTGTTGTTTTCTTTGTATTGAGCCTAAAAAATTTCTAACTAACCCAAGATGTTAAAAATAGGAACTTTTGTAGATTTGGTCCTTGATTATTATACCATTTTAACTTGCCTTTTTTTATTATTATTTTATTTTATTTTATTTTACTTCTGTAAGACAAAATTTCATAACAGGTCTATATGCTTTACAAAAAAGTCACAAGTACTTATGTTTTAAAGTTGCATTGGTAGTCCTTATGCCTCTTTTCGTTTATTTTTGGTCGTTTAATCCAACCACGCAAGGTCCACTAGTCATTTCTTTTGGTGCATATTCATTATTAACACCTTAGACATGGATTTACATAATCAATCATGCGCTAAACTGTCATTGATCTCATTCCTCCCAAGAATTTTATTTGTCTTCTTTCTATGTCCAAATTTGCTTCATCACCATTGCAAGTTAGAAGGAAAATTATCCTTTTTGAAAATAGGGTTTTTTTTTTTTTTATTTTTTTTTATTTTAAGTAATGGTGCTAACTCCATGAAATGTTTGTGAAGTATAGACACAAACACCAGATTTAGAAAAAGAATACAAGTAATGTTTTGAGTGATTGTTTTTCTGAAACAAGTAATATTATGCTTGACAAAGCTTTATAGGTTTTTGTTTTATATTTGTTAGATAAGGGTTTTGATACACCATGGTGGCATCTTTACCAAATATACATGAAGAAAATACATTGATAAAATTGTGTCGTACTTTGACTACATTGATATATTTCTGTTCATGAACTTGATGACATGGTTCGAGAATTAGGCTATCATAGCAGTCATACAATCTATTATCATTTTTCCGAATTCGTGATGTAAAGTTAGACTTTCAACTACTATCTCTTAGAAATGGTCAATATATGATCAAATTAACTAAGTATGTATGTAAACATAGATAACTACTTGTGTACATTGAGCATGTGCAACAAGAGTACACACGTATTTCATGTTTCCATCCAATTAGAGGAGAACAAACCGTTTTTTTTTTCCAAACCGAACCAGTTCTTTTAACCGGTTCGGTTCCGTGTCTAGAATAGGAAGACCGGTTCAGGCCTAAACCGGTTCGGTTCAAGCCGGTTCATTCATAAAAATAGTCGAACCTATCTAAACCGGTTACATCGGTTCTAAATTGGTTTCATCGGTTCTAAACCGGTTCCAAACCAGTTTACACGGTACTAAACCGATTCTAAACTAGTTTCAGTTACTAAAATCTCAAGCGGGTGTAAACCGATGGTTCGGTTCTTAATTGGATCGGTTCATAGTGGACCGGTTCTTTGGCAGGTTTGGATCGTAAACCGGTTTTTTTGTGTACCATTTCATCCAATATTGTGATTGAGGAATTGGATTATGGTGTTTCACTAAGCTTAAATATATTAAACATAAAAAAGGAACTTGACTCTTGTAATATATAGGAAACCATATATATATATTTTTTTTCTATTAATAAGGCCTTTATCTTGTCCCACTCCATATATGAAGCTTATTATATATTTTAGACAATCTCATATAACCTAATGCAGTCCTGTAAATCAACATGTTAAGGTACACAAAAATACAGTAGAAAAAGATCTTATAGGTTAACATGTTCCTATTGCACTATGTTCCAGATGACCACAATGTACCAATAGCTCAAGATGTTACGAATATTGAAGAGGTTCAGGTCAATTTAATTTAGATGTTCCTAGTCAAACATTATTACAATTTTTTTTATCTCTTTTTTGATATCAGTGAAAATGAATACCAAAATATAGGCAATATAGATGTTGAGCACAGGGCAGACCCGTCCTAGAGAACGGACGACATGAGCGACCATTCAGAACCGACTTCACCTTCATCTATTGCTTCTGAAATCACGAAATACTCACGAATCTACTGCAAGGCTAATGGTATCATCGACTTTTTTTTTTTGAAAGAAAATGTTATCATCGACTTATTCACAAGTCCGATTTTATTTTGCAAGTTTTTCAGCAAAATGCCTACTTATTATTATTATTTTTTTTATTTTTTTTTTTTTACTGTGTTGCCATATTAAGAGAATGGATCTTAGTATTTTAGGGTGTGAAATCTCTATTCTAAGTTTTTAACTATTTTATTTATTTGGCTTAAACGGAAAAATAAAATACGAGAACATAAAATATGGTATTTGAGATACTGATCAGTATATTCGAAATGTAAGTTTGGCCAACAACGAAATTTTTGAGCTTTATAATTTAAGACTCGAAAAACCTCATTTGAATGTGAATAAGTCGATGATACCATTAAATATTTTGTACCTTGATTCACCACATTCTAGAGTCTAGACTATCATTACGACGAAATGAAACCCACCAACTCCTCCAACGAATCATATGAACAACCACCATTTTGCACTGCTTCTTTAACCATTTCCTTCATTCCGATTGCTCTAACTCTCATCTCCTCCCCTTCTTCATCCACCATAACTCTCCTAATCATACTTTCCATTTCCCCACTCTCTAAATCCTCCAATTCCAACCCTATCTTCCATACATAACTCACGTAACGTGCATTCACCATTTGGTCTATATTAAACGGTTGGCATATCATCGGAATACCTTCCGAAATACTCTCCAATGTCGAATTCCAACCACAATGACTCCAAAATCCACCAACAGCAAAATGGGCCAACACTTCCTTTTGGGGCGCCCATTTTACAATCAAGCCACGTTCTCTAGTCTCCTCTATGAAACCCTCCGGCAAGAACTCAGTCCATTCCGAGTCACAAACTGAACCCGGTCTAACCACCCATATGAACCGCTGGTTGCTTTTGGCTATCCCACATGCCATCTCGGTGAGCAGTTTCTTGTCCAAAGTCATTAAGCTTCCGAAGCTTATGTAAATCACGGATTTGGGAGGTTGTTTGTCGAGCCACGCAATGCAACTAGTGTCCTCTTCGAGAAAACTAGTATGGAGATCAGTTGGTGTTATTTTGTGTAGAGGCCCAACTGAAAAAACTGGAACCTGGTAGTACTTCTGGATTTGGGTTAAGGCTTCACGTTCGAGAACTTTGATGGTGTTCCAAATAACTGCAGAGGGTCGTATCGATTGGCTGATAATGGCAAACAGTTGCTGCCAATCTTCAATAGGTGATTTTGAAAAGGGCAGATCTTTATACCTGAGAGGATGATGATTTGGCACCATCTCCTGCATCACATAATCTTTTCAACAAATGGGAGTTACCATAATTAGTTCGTTGTATACCGAAAGTTAGTGGTGCTTTCGATTGAAAAAGTAGATAAATAATAGAATCTTTCATCTACATAAATCAAGGTTGTAATTAAGTTTGATGTACCTTGTTCAAGAAATCTGCTTTCTTGATGGAGCTGCTGACGGACAAGGTTAGCCGGAAAGTACGCTGCACTGCAACTGCGGAAGACTATGGCGACAAGATTCAGATCGGCAGCAACGCTTCCTGCACAAAACATAAGGTTGTCATAGATGACAACGATTGATTTGTTTCCTCTATTTTGTTCACCGATCAAACGAGTCACGTGTTTTTGGAAGGATGGTTTGCAGTTTTTGTTGAGAGTGTGGATGAAATTACTGAAGCTACCGGAGTCATCAATAGCGGATAAGTTGTCGGAAAGAGGGAGGAAAATGAAGGAAGGATGGTTAGAAGGGTTAGGAGGGTTCAGTTTGGAGTGAGCAATGGCTATAGAGAACCCATTGGCATGAAGGGCTTTTGCTAGCTGGAGAGTAGGGGTCATATGGCCATGAAACGGGGATGCTGCAAGCACCACCAGTACTGGCCACCGTCTTCCGCCGTGTTCTTCCATCTCTCTAAATCTATTTATCTAACTTAGAACACTTTTTTGTTTTCTTTAGAGGTTTGTGCGATGGTAACAATGTTGGTTCCAATGGAAGAATTTTTTTGTAAAATACTAAGAAAAAGGAGTAGTAGGTAGGCATTCATTTGTCTATATGTGAAGCCACCAACATTCACATGCATGGCATACACATTGGTTTAGTACTTAAAAATTATTATCATCCATGATGAGATTAATTTATTATCATCCACGTTATATTTGGGAATTGATATTTCCACGGCTATTTTTTTATTGATCCAAGATTCTTAAAGTAAATAGAGGATTTTATCCTTCATTTATTTAGAATTAAATGAATATTATTTGGGTCTTATTTTGGACACATCAATCTATAATAGGGATGAGCATGGTGCGGTTTTCAGACCAAACCGAACCGCAAACCGCATGGTGCGGTTGTTGCATTCTTAAAACCGTTGGGTACGGTTTTACAATGGTTCGGTTTTTCGGTTTTTAAATGCGGTTTCTGTTTGTATCGGTGCGGTTTCGGTTTTTAAACCGTGTTAAGAATTTGGTGCAGTTTTTTTTATGTTTTTTGGTGCGGTTTTTTAAAACTGTAAGAACTAAAAATTATGTGCATATAAGCTTGTATTGTGCTGTTTTTTTTATTACATTCATTTTCAGCTCAAAACAAAATTACATAATCAAAAATTGTAAGTCGTTTAAAATACAACTTGTGACCACTCTCACAAAAACTAATTAATAATTGAAGGTTAGTTGATTTTAACTTAATTTTTTATAAGCTTATTACATGTAATCGATTAGTACGTTTGGCTAACAATAGAACATATCTTTTGCACCTCATATAGTCTTATACAAACACAATATAAACATATAATAAATATATTATCGTTTATAACTATTTTAAATAGCATGTATATAATCTACATTGATTGATTTATTACTATACACGCTTGCGGTGCGGTTCGGTTTTGGTGGACCGGTTTTTAGGATAGAAACCGCACCGCACCGTTGACCTTCGGTTTTTGCAAAAATTAAATCCGCACCATTGGTTTTTGCATCGGTTTCGGTTTTTCAGTTGCGGTTTATTGCGGTTTTGTCGGTTTTTCTTTAGTCGGTTCGGTTTTTACTCACCTCTAATCTATAACAACTTATATTATTAGGTTTATTTTTTAGGTTAACGATGATAATTATTATTATATAATTATTTTATTGATCATAATTTTTAAATCATAATATGACAATCTAATTATTATTTGACAAACTTTTCTTATTAGTTAGTTATTACCTAATCATAAATTATTATTATTTAATAATTACATTTTTATTACTAACTTTATTAATAATAATATAGTTTTTATAATTTAATTAATAACATAAATAATATTATAAACAAATAAACTTTCAAATAAATTTTCATCAACTTAATATCATTGATATTATAAATAATATTATAAGAAAAATAAAATCCAAACAAATTTTCATCATTTTTTTAAAATTTTAAATATTACATAACAAAAATCTGAAACATAAATTTTCATCAACCTAATATCTTTCCGTAGTATTTCTGTAACGTATTTTCGGCGATAAATGCTCCGACAACGTATTTCAGATGATATTTTCGGTACTATTTCCGATGTTATTGATGTATTTAGTTTAGAGTATTTTTGTAAATGAGCTTTTATTTTTTATGTAATTTGAACAGTAAATTTATACAAATATATTTTATAGTTTTTTGTATTTGTTTTTTGAAAATCTAAACTTTGAGGGTAAATATATTGAAAAAGATGGTCTTAGAAACACAAAGTCAAAATAGACTTTAAATATAGGTAACAAATATGGGTTAGATTGGAGTGTATAAAAAAAAAAAAGAATAGTTTGTTTATCAAATAAATAACAATGAATTTATTTTTGTCAAACAGTTTATGAACATTATATATATATATATATATATATATATATATATATATATATATATATATATATATATATATATATATATATATATGGTTTGTTTACCTTTATATTTTAGTTACAAGTCAATGTTTAAAAATATAAATATTAAATGACATATTAATTAAAACTTAGTTGATATTACAAAATATTTTATTTGTATTTTGCTTTAATATAATATAACTTTAATAAAAATCATTGGAACAATCTTTATTATTAATCATATAGTAAATAACAATAATTTAACCGCAAAGTTTATTATTAAATATAAGGTTTAATAATAAATATCATAAAATTTAAAAGTTTAATTAAGAGTTTGAGCGTCTAGAGGGTTAGTTTAAAAAAAAAAAAATAGGAAAATGTTTAAAAGCTGCATGGTTTGTTAAAAGCCAAAAACGCACGTGACATTTTTTTTAAAAAGGAAACGCATTTGTTTTTTTAGATCAAGGAGGTGTACATGGATGCTACCGGTGTGTAATAAGGTTGTGTAGGATGATGTGTATAAAGAAATACCATATTATTCAAAAACTGCTTCTTCCCGTATTTCAAAGGGAATCTCTCCTCTTTCAATAATCAGTCTGGGGTTTAAACCCACTATTACAACACCTTGGTTTATTCGTCGTCTCCATGCCAAGTCTTTCATTCCCACCGTTTGCTATTCCTTTGAAAATACATATTACGTTTCCCAATTTCACACTCTTTCGAGAACTCTCTGTTGTGCATCTCCATTTAATTTCATTTATTTCAAAGGTGAGAACCAGATAAAAGAGTTTCTCTGGTTCCCAATTCCGATTCAATTTTCGATCTCTAAAATGTAGAGCGGGACAAAGTAAATAAGAAGACTCAATTCAGTATCCCAATTTCATTATCCCTTTCTGTTTCAGTTTTCCATCTCAAAAAGAAGAAGAATAAAAGCTCTAACAATTGTGTCGCCGGAGAAAAGAATTAAAAGTTGAGGTCGACTGAGGAAATAAACTTAAAACATTAACACTTTAAGTTGCAGGAAAGAAGAAGCGATGACAGCAAAGAAGAAGTCATGAAACCCTTCAATCTTACTTGATTTAAAGTGAATTAGATATATTAACACTATTATATTAATCAGTATATTTGCCACTCATGAATAGTCCCTCCATTTTTGTGGGATACTGTTCATTCTCACATTTTGGCGTTGACGATAGCGGTAGTTACAGCTTATTTTGCCTGCAAATCACCATTGTGCAGGTTCGTTGGAGTTGTCTAATGGTTTACTTAAAATCAGAACATATATCTATGAATAATGGTTTACATTCTAAAATATAAACCAAGGGCATTATCGTCAACTTCCTTAAAAAATCTATGAATATATAAAAAGGTTGTGGACAAGATATTAACTAAACTAACACATGACACTATATCAGTTTTTCTTTTCTTCTCAAATCTCAATGTTCCACTCCTTCCATCCCATCTTTTCATCACTCCCATTTTATTCAAATTTTAATTTTAAAATAAATACAAATTAATTAAAATTATACAAAACTAATTTATAAAATATAAAAAACATACAAAACTAAATAAAAAGCTTAAAAAACTCTATATGACAAAGTTTAGGTCATATGTGATCATTTAACTTTTGGTTTTTTTCTCACTTTATCATTTAACTCGTTTCAAATTTTACAAGGTTATTTAAAATTTTTTTTTTTGATAATTTTTTTTTTTTTTGGTTACTAAATTTTTTATAATATAGTTAGTCAATAGATTTTTGAAATTGTGCTCATTTAATATTATATTTTTTTTCCACAAATCATTTTTATTTTTATTTATTTTTATTTTTTTTACTTTTGTTTTTACGTGTTATATTTCTTAATTATTTCTTAATATCGTCAATTTTATTGTATTTTTGTATTTTTTTTCACAATCTATTTTTATAACTTAACTTTTTTTTTACTTTAATTTCATGTGTTTTTTTTTCAAAATTCATTTTTACAACTTTCCCCCTTTTTATATATGTTTTCATAGTATTTTTTTAGAGCTTCATATATTTGTTTTGTCAATTAAGTGTCAATATTGAACTATATAATTATTAAACCAACTGATAATCCTAGAATTATTTGTTTCTCGTGAATCCAATAAAGTTACATAATTAACAACTTTTTTTTATATAAAGTCTACATATTACAACAGTATCAACATCACACATATGTTTCTCAAAAAAAGAAAACATCATTTTTTTTCGTTTTTGTTGTTGGTTTTTCTATAGTACTAAATTTTATGTTTTTTCCGATTATTGGAATTATGGATCCAAGATACGATTCTCTTCACAGCTTGATAACAAAAACTATAGATACTGTAAGTTATGTAATTATGTTTTTTTATGTGAGAAACATATATAAGGTATTGTTGCTGGTGTAATAGGTAAATCATTAGATGAAAAAATTGCTAATTATGCAATGTTACTGGATGCATGACAAACTGATAATTCTAGGATTATCACTTCGGTTAATAATTTTGAAGTTCAGTTAATTTACATCTAAATCGAAAAACAAATATACAAAGTTTTAAAAACATTTTATCGAAAAACATATAAAAAACTGAAGTTATAAAATGGATTTTGAAAAAAAAAAACATGAAGTAAAAAAGTTAAGTTGTAAAAATAAATTGTGAAAAAACATGAAAAATATAGTAAAAATGAAGTTAATAAAACAAATTATGAAAAAACATATAAAATGAGAGTATATGTATAATAAAAATGAAGTTATAAAAATGAACTTTTGGTATCTTGGCAAAATTGAATGGCTATGGTTTATCTATTATTTTTTATTTTCTATTAAATTTGAAATGATAGATTTTATGATTAATTCGAAATATTTAGAAAATTTCTGGAAAATGTAAAAGGTTAGGGGTTAAAAGCGTCAAAAGTGGAAAATCCGTAATGATCAACAAACACCAGGGGTAAGCGCGGTGCGGTTATTGGTCAAAATCTCATCACTAACCGTAAATGTGGTTAATCCATTTTCAAAACCGCCTTGTGCGGTTATTTTTGCGGTGCAGTTAGGCGTTTATTT